AGCCCTTTGTGTGGCAACTGATCTGTACACACGAAAGAATCTGCTACTCTCAGTAAAAGCAATTTTATGAAAGAGTAAATGGAAATAGTTTGGGTTTATGAATTGGGATTAGGCTGTACAGCAGCTAGATGTGTGGGAAACCAATTTGTTTTCCCCCCATGTGATAAAGAGGAGTCGCAAAACCAGCATTGAGCTAGAAATAAATCATTTATTTTAAAACAATACAGGTTAATAAATAGATTAGTTATCAGAAAACTTAATAAATAGCCTTTTATAATTTACACAAGGCAAATACAACATGCCTATAACTATTGTTTAAAAAGCAAAGAGTAAGCTTTACTTGTAAGCCATTAACAAATCTATATATACATTATTTGGAAGCTAATAAAATAAACCATTTTTATGTAATCTGTATAACTATATTGCAATAGCATTGAAGCAACCAAACCTGACACTGTATGTTTGTTGCCATCCACCTTTTCCCCACATCCCATTAGAATTATTTTTTACATTCCAGGGGAAGAAAAAAAAAGAAGTTAAAAAAAGAGATAAAAGTTCCACAGTTGGAAAAGGATTTAACTTAAAAATACTCCTTTTGTGTAATATTTTCCACTCTGTAGAGCAGCTGTCTGGGCGAGGGGGAACCCAACACAGACCAAAAACCCAAACAAAACCAAAAAAAACAATTAAAACCCCAAATTTGTTTGCAGCTTTTAAAAAAAGATTTCTTAATCCATAACATTTCAACACCGCTGTCTGAAACACTTGGGCACTAGTAATAATAACTGTTGACATCATTGGTGCCTCACATGGTACATGCTAAAATTCTGCATCACTTAAGCCCAGATTCAGTAGCACCAAAGAGTTACTACAAAGACTAATCTCAGTAAAGAAAAGATAACAGGTAATAGGTAAACATTTGATTTCACAGTAAAACTTCAGCAGTTACACCATCTCAGCACAACTGAGGAAGATCTGTAGAATCCTTGATGGTTTATATTTATGAAACAAGGAGGTGAGAGTGGATACAACGTGCAAACAACTGCCCATTTAAAGCACCCCATACTTATTAACCCCAAATATTTCTTCAAATACAAACCCTCTATTTTTTTAAATAAAAAGGAAAGCTAAACCTCAGTTTCTAGTGTTTCAACAAATTAATCCAGTATTTTCATTTTTCAGTGCTAGTAACTTCAGAAAGATACCTATGTTCAATATAAACCAAGATTATTAATAGGAAGCCTCACTTGTCAAACTGTGATATGGCAGGTTCTTATTAGTGGTAGTTGCAGCTCACTAATAAATAGGCTGTATTTACACATACAGAGTCCTGGAAAGTCAATACAGCAGACAACTTGTTTAGATATTTTTCTTTTTTACAGAAATATTTAAGGTGTAACAAATATTTTTTTTGGTTGTATCAAAAAGTTTTCTATTCTCCTACTGAACATTTGAGGGATTTTTGTGTTTGACAGCTAATAAAGATCGTGACTGACACATGTAAATCCTCCATACACTGAAGGGATAATGATCAAAGAGCTATCTTCAAGTGACTACCAAGTGAGTATGTTTGACAAGTGTAACAGAAGGCAGACATACGGAGTGAAAGACCTTTCATACGGATTTGAATTTAATCCAAATGCATCCCACCACTGTAATGAGTCCACTTTTTGTATGCATAGCCTCTCCCACCTCTGCTTTGGAATCAGAACTGAAGTCATCTGGCTGTAGCTATCAATAGCCATAATGCAAAGCCAACGTGAAAAGGGCAGACCTGCGAGGGACACCAAAGCTCAGGAGACAACTACGCACATTTGCTCCCTGAGATGATGGAATGCAAATATCTCTCTTACTCAAAGTGCTTACTTGTCAAAG